GGGGCCTTCTTGCCATTAAGGGACTTTGTCGTTGAGAACATTTGTCCACGTTAATTAAGCCGCATCTCTTGCCCGGGGAGCAGCGAGATGTGGGCAGGCTCCTCGGCCCTGCCGGCGTGCCCGAGCCCCCCCTCGCTTCTCCCAGAGCTGGGTTTTTAACAGCCTCATTAGCGGCGCTTTCTTCCCCTTCGAAGCTAATGAGAGCTTCTGCCAAGCCGCTGGAAGGTGCTGGTCCCGCTGGCGGTCCTGATGGGGGATACGCAGGCGCTGGTCCCCGGGTCCAGCTCTGCGGCCGCCCTGGGCTGGGTGGGGGGCTCTGCCCCTGCTCCCGGCCCCCAGAACCCTTCTCCCCCCTCACCATGTGCCCCAGCTTTCTCTTCACCTCTGAGCTTCTCCCACAGGCCACCCATGGGGGAGTTTCTGCTTTTGCCGCAGATCCAGTTATCTCCTCCCCAGCCCCGAGTTTCAGAGGGAAGTGCATGAAATGTTAGAAAAAAAAAAAAGAAATGGGCACAGCTGAGGGCTCGGGCAACCATGTGAACGTGCTGTCCGTCCACCTGTCCATCTGCTGGCCACCAGCTGGGACCCTCCATGTGTGGGTGTTGCTCATCAGCCCCACGGTCATGCTTGGGAGCACCATGCAACACTTGGTGTTGGGCAGGGGTCCTCCAGTGGGAACGTCACGCACTGGGTCACGTCTTCAGGTGCTCACCTCTCCTCCCCCATGCAGGTGGCCAACCTGCTGCGGCTCTTCCAGATCCCGCAGATCAGCTATGCCTCCACCAGTGCCAAGCTCAGCGACAAGTCCCGCTACGACTACTTCGCCCGCACCGTCCCACCAGACTTCTACCAAGCCAAAGCCATGGCGGAGATCCTACGCTTTTTCAACTGGACCTACATCTCCACCGTGGCCTCGGAGGGTGACTATGGGGAGACGGGGATTGAAGCCTTTGAGCAAGAAGCCCGCATGCGCAACATCTGCATTGCCACCTCGGAGAAGGTGGGGCGCTCCATGAACAAGAAGACCTATGACGGGGTGGTCCGGGCTCTGCTGCAGAAGCCAAATGCCAGAGTGATTGTGCTGTTCACCCGAAGCGAAGATGCCCGGGAGCTGCTGGCGGCTGCCCAGAGAGCCAACGTGTCCTTCATGTGGGTGGCCAGCGATGGGTGGGGAGCCCTGGAGAGCGTGGTGGCCGGGAGTGAAGCAGTGGCGGAGGGAGCAATCACCATTGAGCTGGCAGCCTACCCCATTAAGGAGTTTGCTGCCTACTTCCGTAACCTCAACCCCTACAATAACAGCCGAAATCCCTGGTTTCGGGAGTTTTGGGAGCAGAAGTTCAAGTGCAGCTTCCACATGCAGGACTGTAGCCGGTACTCCCTCAAGACAGGCAAGTTTGAGCCAGAGTCCAAGATCACGTTCGTGGTCAACGCAGTCTATGCTATGGCTCACTCTCTCCACAACATGCACCAGGCGCTGTGCCCCAACGCCACCAAGCTCTGCGATGCCATGAAGCCTGTCAATGGCAAGAGGTTCTACAAGGACTTTATGCTCAACGTTAATTTTGATGGTGAGTCCAGAGATGGAGATGGGGTTTGGCTGCCTAGCGGGAAAGGGATGGGTGGAGGGGCAGGGAAAGGTGGGACACCCAGATTTCACCAGTTCCTTCAGCTTGCCCACACCCAGGGACCGCTGTGCTGTGAGCTGTGGTTGTCCTGAGGATGCCAACAGCCCACCATCACCCCTGGACAGCAATCCAGGCCTTCTGTCCCATGTGTGGAGAAGCTGGTGGCCAACTCCATTCTGCTAGAGCTGGGTGGGACCAGCCCCACCAAGGACCCTCCAGAAACGTGGGTCCCTGGGGGCTACACTTGCAAGCACT